CTAATTCCATTGATACCGCCTCCCATAGTTATCGACTTCTGTCTTCTTTTCGTCTCAAGCATTATGGGCTTTTGAGTCGTCGAATACAGCGTCATCAGTCCACACATTAAATGAAAATTAATTCATTTGTGCTGTCAACTCTGGCTTGAGAATGGTGCTTTTCGCAATAAGGGAGGATATCAACACTGTCTAAATTCCGGTGTCCCAATAGTATTCCTCCAACTCAGTTCCCAGGGTCCAGGTATTATTTTTCCGGAACTTTGCCAAGTTCTTCAAAATTTGCTCTGTCTCTCGCCGGTTTCGGGCATCCCACTCCAAGTCCAGTTCTGGCACAGTTTTAGCTTTGAAATTTAATTCTTTGCTATATGAGCCCTGCTGTAAACCTAAAATTTCCCAATTCTGAGGATCTGACCTTCGGCTTTCGCGCCCTGATGATAGCTTCGAGCTAAATATGCATCTTTTAGGCATCAATGTTGCTGAGCAGCTCAGGTGAAAAGGTTGAACCTTTCGTTTTGCCACAGCATCGATTGAAGGATGGGAAAGCTCCCTCGTGGAAAGTTTAGTCTTATTTACCCTCGATGGTGTATTTTCACATTGCCGAAATAGTTTAGAAAAGTTGCCTGCCTCTCTATTTCGGCTCATACCTTTCGAGTTTATAGTATGAACTCGTGACCTTGGCTGCAAGTTCGGCCATTTCGGATAGCGTTTCTGCTTCGTTTGTGGCTCCTCATAGCCACAAGTCTTACAACCTATACGGGTCTTGTTCTGTATGGTAAATCGCGGAGATTCTGGTGATTTGGATGGCGAAACCCGGCCGGAGCTCCTGCTTGAATTTGGACTTGGGGGGTTTCCATGCAGATGACTTCCACCTCGAATTTGACCAGATGATTGTCCACGCCCCCTTTGCCTTCCTCTGCCTTTTATGGATCTGTCGGAGGATGTCGGCGGGTTTCGACCAGCCGATTTGGATGGCGACCGCCGCTTCGGGGAGAGGGCTCGACGGAGAGTTAACCGCCTCTTGTCTGGCATTGTCTGTCGCTGCGCACAAAATAATCTACCGCCTCTTGCTATCACCTCTTTGGGCCTTTTTTTAAATGCAACTAGCAAGGGTTCTCTCCGGAACTGCGGATACGCCCGTTCTGTGGAGATAAGGCTCTCTGAGCCAGATGTAAATAACTCTTCTTCACTCAAATTCTCTTCACTTATTTCTTTCTCCTCCTTCTCCCCCTTCTCCTCCTCCTCCTTCTCCTCTCTTAGCTCCTTAATTTGATCGCTTCTGCTCGAGCGAATCTCATCAAGTTGTTGTCTTTCTGCTGTCTTCTGTTCCGAGTCGCTCCATTGTCTGGCGTCAGACTGCATTCGCACCTTAGCCAAATTTAGCATTTTACTTAGCTCAGTAAGAGCTTGATCGCCACTGAGCCTACTCATCTCTTGGCCCAAGTTGTACTGATCATAAAAGTCTTCAGGACTCATTAATGTAGGAAAAGTGGACGAAGCCGTTGGCTGGTGTGCAGAAAAGTTTTCTCGGATGAACCTGGGCACCAACTCAAGTAAGCGTGAATAGACAGCGATTTCAATAAACGGTACCGTAAAGTACCAGATCCACAGCAGACAGGTTGAGGCCAGAATTATGAAGAACTGAGCGCAGTGCATCCAACCGATGAGAAAATATGTGTTGAATTTATCTTGTGCCGTGGCTCCAGTGGAACTCATGCCACCAAGCAGGTGGTTTTTAAGCTGCCAAAATAAGTAAGTTGATATAATTCGAATTGGTGCGTTAACCAAAGTGTGAACAATTGAGAGCATCTTGAAGGAGATGTGCTGATAGATATCATACGCGATATGAGCCAGCGCAATGGTGGATATATTTGGACCAACAAACCGAGGCCGTGTATATCTCAGCATAAGAAAGATGCGGTATCGCTGAACAGCGACAAGAATGGCTAGCAAAAGGCTAAGAATGTCGGGAAGTAGGCCCATACTTAATAGGCAGCGATGCCAAGTAACCCAATCTATCACCAGTTTGCTCCATTCAGGATCGAGGAAGGAAATAAACTCGTCAAACCAGATGGAATGAGTGCAAGTGCATCCAAACGGGATGGCAAATAAGAAGCCCAAAATAAAGCTGATGCAGGCCAAGAGGTAAACAAGCGTCAATGAGTCGATAAGATCATCGTTTGAACACAAAAGTAACTGGAAAAAATTGAGAATGCTCTGCGTGCCAGAAAGAGTATCACTCATGATGGTAATGAAACACAATTGAAGGAAGAAGTCTTCACCTTCTAGATCCATTCCCCACCATTTGGGTCCGTCATCACAGAACCACGACAGCAAACCAACAATCAGTTGAAGGCAGCTCAACAGGCAGAAGAAGAGCCCAAAAGCTTCTCGCGCAGTATTGCATATATTGAGGTTTCGTTTGATTAGCCATAAGAGGAGTAAATTAGACAGGATACCGACCACAACGAGAGGTGGAATAAGCGAAGCAAAAACGCCAAACAAGAAGATGTAGGATCGGCATTGTTGGACTGTCAAGGGGCACTTTATCTCAAATATCGAGGATTTAGCTTGATCAAATATAGTAATCCTGTTCAGGGTATCGTAAGGTTCTAACTCCAGCCATTCTTGGGTTCTGAAGGTGTAAGCAAAACTTGTTGTATTTACCTCAGAATAGTTCATTATGTAACGTGCATAAAGTCCAAGACTAAATCGATTTAGTTGGTTTAAAGTGCAGGAGGGACATACAAAAATTGCCAGAATGCTGTCTGAGCTTCTTGCCCGCCTGGGCGGAATGGCGGAATAAACGTTTGTTGATTCATTTCACGCATCAAACTGGCTAAGTTAAGGTATAAGAGCAATGGGCATTGCTTGATTTCACTCCCCTAATATGCACCTATTCGAATGCTCTCCTCTCCTCCAGGGCGACAAACATACTATTGCCAATCCCCAGGCGGCCACCTTTGGATTTAGGCTTAAAAAGACGAAATCTGACGTTTGTTTTGGTGGGATGAGGCATTGAACCAGCACAAGGAGCATTTCACATCGATGTATGTATCCATTGTGCTATCCGTTTTGCAACCCAATCTAATGAAGTATTTCTCAAAAGCAAAAATGGCTTTGCCTCTCGTCAAACTTCCTGTACGGAACTTCACGATATGTGTTCAGGTGGCCACCACTGCAGATTATCTCTTATTTCTATAAGTTGTGTGTCTCGGAAACCGACCCTAAATGAAATACCTCCTATTTGGTGAGATTCTTTCGGCAGTACTATCAATGGACAGCCTCCAGATCATGTCATAGCAAGGTAGCCTTGTAGACATGTATCGGAAGTATTCACTCTATTTCATTTAAGGTGCTAAAGGGCTGCTAGTTGAATTTCCCCACATTTATGTGAGTAGAGCTGACATCTCCATTGAATTTCACATAGCCTTGCTTTACAAAAAGATGTTCTCATCTCGGCTATGGTCGATCGCAGTTTCGACATCATCTACTTCTTATTAACACCCTCAGTGGGAATGGCTAATGTGACGAGATTACACGCTGGTTGATCGATTTAACTCGGTTCCAGCCTCAGTGTGCATTTTACTCTGGTATCTATTTCTCAAGCTTCCGGTAACATGTACAATATCGCCTCCCCTGAAGAGCGCCTATGCTCTGATTGCCATGCTTGCGATTATTAGGTATTGCCTTCACGCATCGTCTGCTTGATTAAACCCGTGTACCTTGAGCAAACTGTGCACTTCTATTTCTCGAGTGAATCTCTAGTCATAAGATGTATTCACCCAATTTCGTTTAAGGTGATGAAGGACTGGTAGAAGTAGAATTTTCCCAAAAATGATATGAGTTGGACTGACGTATTCATTGAATATTTACATAGCTTTGCATTCCAAAAAGTTGTTCTCATCCAGGGTGGACTGCAATTTCGACCTCGCATTGGTCTTATCAACACCCTCAGCGGGACTCGAACCGCGACACGCTAACCACTCGGCTACACTGCCACGAGCAACTTTTGGGTCCAGTCCTTCATCACCTTAAACGAAATTGGGTGAATACATCTTATAACTGATTTACTGGTAGTCACGAAAGACAATACTTAATTCGAAAAATAAAGTATAGTAGTCGATTGCTATAGCAAAACATACGTTTGCTTCATCGACAATTCCACAAAAAACATATATGACAAAAAGGCCTGGCCTTCCTTGAAAATTCCCATTTGCCTTGTGACCCAAAGGGCGCTCGTGGCAGTGTAGCCGAGTGGTTAGT